CACACCAGTGTATGAAAGCTACACACCAGTGTATGAAAGCTACACACCAGTGCATGAAAGCTACACACCAGTGTATGAAAGCTACACACCAGTGCATGAAAGCTACACACCAGTGCATGAAAGCTACACACCAGTGCATGAAAGCTACACACCAGTGTAGTGCATGAAAGCTACACACCAGTGCATGAAAGCTACACACCAGTGTATGAAAGCTACACACCAGTGTATGAAAGCTACACACCAGTGTATGAAAGCTACACACCAGTGTATGAAAGCTACACACCAGTGACAGCTTTACCAGGACCAGACCAACGTTAACATGCAAAGAAGCTGAAAAGTCAAAGTGAATATCATATATCTGGATATATGTACAATACATTGATAGTGTGTTTGCGCGCGCGTGTGTGTGTGTATGTGTTTGGTTGTGCATGTATGTGCATCTGTGTGTGCGTGCACATATGTGTACCCATGCCTGTGTTTATGAATAATGTGAGAGTGTGTGTGTGTGTGTTTCTGTGTGTGTTTGTGTGTGCATGTGTGTGTGCACGCACGTGTACCCATGCCCGTGTTTATGAATAATATGTGTGTGTGTACCTAGCTGTGTGAGTGCATGTGTGTTTGGGTGCACGCATGAGTACCCATGCCCCTGTTTATAAATAATGTATGTATGAGTGTGTGTGTGCGTGTGTGTGCGCACCCAAGTGCGTGGCTGTGCATGTGTACACAAGAGTTCGTGCACAAACTGTATTGCAGCAAAACACGACACAATCCATTTCTCTGACTCTGGCATTGAAAAAACAATAAAGGTTCCTATTCTTTATCTAATTACAGAATAAACCTGAACAACTTGTTTTAAGAACAAAGACGACCAAAAAGTTAACTGATATTTACAGCAACTTCATTTTAAGAACAAAGACGATGTAAACTTTAACTGATATTTACAGTATCATTAAATCCATGTTGGATTTTAAACCTTTAAATAGAGGAATAGTATGCTACACATTTTTTACTAATATGCTGCTAGCCTTCATATTCATTCACTTTCTTTCAAAATAACGAAAATCAATATCAAAAGAATACCAGTCATATTTTTAATTTAAAAATTTAAAGCCTATTCCCAAAATGATCAGCGATATCTGTACCAGTAAAATGTAAGTCAGTGAAAAACAATATCAACAAAAAGGCGATTTCGTTAAGGTGCTTGCACCATCAAGCAAAATGCAACAATTTTAATTCCTATACAATTTGCATTTTCACCTGAATAACTTTGAATTTTTGTCAGCATCAAACCATTATACAACTTGTCTTTGCTGTAAATTCTATAATCTAAAAGACTTTTAGATTTTTTAGTTTTAGTAGAGGTTTTACGGCACTCGCAACTGCATAAGGTCATATGAGTGCCAGAAGATTAGAGGTGTTACAAGAGAGTAACAAACACCAAAAAGAAGAATGGGAGAAAAGGATGATAGATGTTTCATAGGAAAGAAGAAGCAAACCACACCAGAGCAACCGCCAACCACCCACTTAAAAGACTTTGATTTAAACAAAATAAAAGGACTAAGAATGATCAGGGACGGAACAAACCACCAACAACCTTTTGTCTGTCACAAGTAAGGTCACGTGACTGGAGGAAAGAACTTGATTGGTTCTGTTTGTTTTAGAAGAGGTTTTACGGCGCTCGCAACTGCATAAGGTCATATGAGCGCCAGAAGATCAGAGGTGTTACAAGAGAGTAACAAACATAAAAAAGAAGGAGGGGAGATAAGGACGACAGATGTTTGATAGGAAAGAAGAAGCAAACCAAACCAGAGCACCCGTCAACCACCCACTGAACTTGATTGGTGCGCAGAGATTGTTTAGTTAAGTTTTAGTAAGGTTTTACAGCCCTCACAACTGCATAAGGTCATATGAGAGCAAAGGGAAGGATGTCAACAGAGAAGTCCAAACGGGGAATCAGGCTTACTCTGCTCACCTCTCTTGCCCCAACAGCACAAAGTCTGCTTCGACTATCAAGGCACCCCGGAAATAGCAGTTCACAAGAGAGTGACAAACATACAAAATAAGAAAAATGATGAGAGGAAAGGTTGAGGAAAGAAACAGTAGCAGTTCCCCCTATATTGTTCCGACACAGTAGGATGAGCATGACATTGATAAATCAGCCCATTTACAATTACAATTTCTACTGTGTGTTTTGGCGCATGAGCGATGAATTACAGCGCTCGATACATAGATGGATAGATATGGATGTATAGATGGATGGACGGATGGATGGATGGATAAGTAGACATATATTGCGACAATACATAGAAAACTTAATCAGTCAATTTTTCGGCATATTTCTACCGTGCAAAAGAACATGGTTAACGTCCCATCTTTGGGAATGGCCTAAAGACACTGCAGTCAGAAGCACTGCTCGGGGGGGATGAGGCACGGCTGGTCAAGATCAATTTGACAAACGATAATTATTTCATGGTTTTTCGGATAAACCTCAGTCCAACAATGTGAACTTTCTATGTCGTGTTCCCCAGCCACGACAAACTCTTTGTTTAGTTTAGTAGCGGTTTCACGGCGCTCGCAACTGCATAAGGTCATATGAGCACCAAGGGGTGGGTGTCAACAGAGAACTCCTTACAGGGAATCAGACTTACTCTGCTGACCTCTCCACCTTCAACAGCACAAGGTCTGCTTCGACTATCAAGGCACCCCGGAAATAGCAGGTCACAAGAGTGTGACAAACATACAAAAGAAATAGAGGAAAATGACAATAATAACGATAAGGAAAGAAAAAGAAGCAGTTCCCTGTTGTAGATCAAGCAGTTATGAGCGTGACATGATGAATCAACCCATTTACAATTCTACTGTGTGCATGAACGAGAAATGTCCCCCCTTTGGGGATGGCCTAAAGACATTTCAGTCAGTGGCACCGCCCTGGGGGGGGGACGACGACACACTCTGTCAGCAAACTGTTCAACTGTGCGAGAAAACAAAGTCATTCAGAAGGGAGAAATTAACTGTTTCCTGCTTTAAAATTTTGTTCCTACGTTACGTATCTTTCCTTGCTTTCGTCAATATTTAGAAAGTGAATTTCGAAGAAATATTTCTGAAACACATGCAACTGCCACCACAGATTAACTCTTTAATCCCTGAGTTTTTTCCACCGTTTCCCGAAGTTTTTTCTACAGTCACCTAAACCTGGTGCACTGTGTCTCATTTTAACCCTAAAAGCTTGCCTCCAACTTCTAAATTGCGGAAATAAAGGCTTAGCCATTACTAAAAAAAAACTTGGTTCCAAAAAACAAGCGAAAACTAGCACTAAATAAAACGAAACGGTTGTCACTAGTATTGCATGCTCCCAGTTTCCGATTGGGAACAGGGTTATTACTGCCGGACCCTGATGGCTTTTAAAGAGTTAAGAAACTGCTTTGAAAGAACGTTGCATCCCTCTCAGCCCGGGTCAGCTTAGACTGGCAGGGTTGAAGCCTGTCTCCTAAATTACCAAAATTTGTCGATGGGACCATTTCCTACATCTTACCATGCTTATGACGGTTACACAAGGACCTTCCTGTTGTGGAGCATGAGGAGAAACATCTGAGACATCTTCCTTCAAATCATCCTCGCACACAGCGCTGTCAGCTTCTGCTGTTTCCTCTCCACTACACGCTGTTGCCGGCATGTCTTCAGAGGGAAGGGAACTTGAAATACTTTCAGATTTCTCGCTACCACCGAGCTGTTCATTAATTGCCTTGTTAGACTGACTCTGAGATTCCTCCTCCAACGAAACAGACAACTTTACACCCCGTTCAGGTACAGCACAGCTTGGGAAACCGTCAACACTAGATCTTTCTTCAATTTCTGAGCACTTTATTTCGTTATCAACGTCCGTATTTGTTGATGATCCAAAAGACTTTCTATCACTTTCAACTAAAATCACATTGTCATTTCCCCCTGTACCCTCTGGGTCTAACTCTGTGCCAGCAGAACACACTGGAGAACACATCTTGGAGGAACGACTTTCATCAGAGTCACGCGAGTCGGTCTTCGGCTCCTTCTTTTTTGGCGAGTACCGAGACAAAAACTGAGTGATGGACCCCGTTTCATTCGAGGAGCCGAACCGAGAGGGGAGACTGGAGGACTTGTTCATCTCGAGGGAGGCCATCTCTGCAACCAACGAAAACAACAATACATTATAGGAGAAATTCTCACTCCATGGACTTACATGCTATGTTTGGTCAACCCTTCTATATGGCTGTGAATGCTGGACAATCACTAAAGACAGTGAAAATAAAATAGAAGCAACAGAAATGTGGTTTCTTAGGAGACTGCTAAGAGTATCGTGGAAGGAAAAGAAATCAAATGAGGTAGTGCTTGATGAAGCCCACGTGGGACGCTCAATGTTAAAAACAATCAGGAAACGACAAATGCAGTTTTTGGGACACCTGAATAGACATAAGGGTCTTGAACATCTAGCTCTCACTGGCAAAATTGAGGGCAAGCGAGGCAGGGGTAGGCCCAGAACAACATACTTAGGGAACCTAAACAAATGGGTAACAGGGAAAAATCAGGGAAACGTAGCTTTTCTGAGAGCATCCAAGCAAAGGAATGAATGGAAAATCATGATCGCCGATGTCTGTCGCAGATCTGGCACTGGATGATGATGATGGACTTACATTTGCAACATGACTCTCACAATAAAAGATTGAAGCACTTCATCAAGGCTGTTCATATTAACCCTTGAAGCCCCATGCACGAATATTTTCAGCAGCGTTTGTACCTCCCATCGTCCCAAGAGCAGCATATATTCTCATTCTCGCGCATTTTTCGAAATTAGTGAACCTAATTAAACTTTGATCTTCATAATATTTGTTCATTTACCTTTAAACACTGTTATACTATGTTATTATCTAAACCTCATTACAAAGACACAACAACACTTTTTTGAATGCTCGCCTCTTTTTAAAAAAAAATTATACTGCTGTATTGGCTGGGACAGGGGTAAAGGAGCGCACAAAAATGGCTGGGGCAGGAAGGGTTAAAGGATATCTCAGACCCATACAGCACAGATGATGCTATATATTCATAAAGTAGGACACAGATTATAATCTGTTCATCCCCTACAGTTTTATTTCTATATCGCTCACAAGCAGTTCAACTGTTCTACACACCATGCCGCGCAGCACAGCTCACTGTTTCAAACAATGACCTGGGTTTTTTTAATTCTTTCATTGTCCCAGGCCATCACTCACAACACAAAGTTCGGGAATGTTTTAATACCTTGTCAAACTAACGTTTGATGCGTGGAAAGGGACATGAGAGAAATGAAGCTCACTTGGAACGAGCTTGGAAGGATGGCTCAGGACAGAGATAAATGGAAGAAGCTTGCATGTGGCCTATACCCTGCCAGGGGTGAAAGGCATTGATGATGATGAAACTAACGTCTGCCTTACTCCTGGCTTTGGAGCAACTCGCTACCATACAATTACAAACTTCTATCTGCTCAATACCTTATCTGGAGAAATTTTACGTAAAAAATTTTGAGTTTCACAACATGTGAAGCTTTTTAGAATGCAATTCCTGTGAATATATTGATGGCCACTCCGAATGATCTTACGATTTTGATACAGCAGATAGAACATTTCGTTTCTAATCTCACGGTTTTAGAAACTCAAAACGGCCAAAAATGTCAGATAGAACTTTGTAATTCTGAGGCAGCAAACTGTTGCTTTTCTAAGGGCAAAGTGGCACTGAGCAAACACAAGGGCTGTGTGCACAGGGGATGTTACAAGTAGACAGCTGCACGTAACAGTGAAGCAGGGTCTGATTGTTTTTCTTCCTTATACATCAGGAGAGTAGGGATCGGCTGGTTTGTGAAAGCCAAATTATGAATTTTTAAAAATCAAAACCAGGGGAGTTACAATCGTAATACAGCAGAACATAACAAAAGCGGGACTTTTAATTCCAGAAGAAAAATCCCACTGCAGGCAAGTTCCCGCTATCGGAATACAAATAGGAATTACCGAAAAATCACACACTGCACGCTCTCCTCTTCTTTTACAGTCTCTTTGGCCTAGCCTAGGCCTAAGGCTATGGCACATTACATTTGGAGGGGCTCACGTAACGCGTCTCTCCGCATCATCTCTCTCTGCCGCCTGCCCCACCTCACTCATCACAGGACTGGCCAATAACATCGCCACACTGCTGACTGCCTGTTTGGAGCCCACCTACAGACTTACTCTGCTCACCTCTCTAGCTTCAACAGCACTAGGTCTGCTTTGACTATCAAGGCACCCCGGAAATAGCGGGTGACAAGATGTGACAAACATACAAAAGAAGTAGAGGAAAATGACAATAATAAGGATAAGGAAAGAAAAAGCAGCAGTTCCCTGTTGTAGATCAGGCACAGTTATAAGCGTGACATGATGAATCAACCCATTTACAATTCAACTGTGCTTGAACGAGAAATGTCCCCCCTTTGGTAATGGCCTAAAGACACTACAGTCAGTGGCACTGCCCCGTATTTATTTTTCAAATGAACTTACTTGAGCTTTTGGGTGCTCTGGAAGGAGAGGCAGCCACGGCAGACTCGTTCCTGGCAAAGGCACTGCTGAATGACCGCTTCAGTTTGGACAGCGTGTCCGTCCCGTTGTCACCCTGGGTTGTTTTATAGTCAGTTTTAGTAGAGGTTTTAAGGCGCTCGCAACTGCATAAGGTCATATGAGCGTCACAAGATTAGAGGTGTTACAAGAGAGTAACAAACACACAAAAGGAGGAAGGGAGATAGAGACGATAGATTTTTTATAGGAAAGAAGGAGCAAACCACACCAGAGCACCCGCCAACCACCCACCAACCAGGGTTGACTGTTAGCAACATAACCAGAGAGGTAAAGGACGTTTCAGTTTTAGGAAAGGTTTTACGGCACTTGTGACACAAACAGGTCATAGTAGTGCTGAAGATTGACGGTGTAACTGGAAAGAAACATACAAAGAAAAGAAAAGGAGGGGAGATAACAATGATTACAGTTTGGAAAACACCGTGACCATGGCATGGTTGTACAGTAAGCTGAGCTGTTTATATTTCTGGGACTTTTCAGCACAAACTTTGAGGTGTGGTCACTCTCCACAGATTATATACGTTACGTTTCCAGTGCCCCCCCCTCCCCCACTTTTTCGTGTACTGTCAAACTCAGTTATCAAATACTCGTACTTTAACTATTACCTGTGATGGATTTGATGGAGGATAACTGTGTACCTTGGACCTGTAATGAAAAACACTTATTAAGAACAAAAAACTTTTTGTCTTTCATGTTCATTGAAGTTGAGCCCCTTACTTGACACTAAACAAGTCATTTCAAAAGACTTGCGTTAGTTAATATTTCTTTTTGGGCTAAAATATAAGTTTACACTGTCCCCCCCCCCCCCCCCCTTCCCTCAAGAGTTAAAATAGATAGATTTTTTATAGGGAAGAAGGAGCAAACCACACCAGAGCACCTGCCAACGACCCACCAACCAGGGTTGACTGTTAGCAACATAGCCAGAGAGAATACAAAACAAACAAAAACAAAAACCAAAAACAAATTCTATGCCCTGGGAGTAGCCTAAGAATGGAAATGTTCCTGAAAGGATGAGAGAAATTTTCACCCCACTTATCTCTTTAAACCTTGAGTTCTTTCCAACGTTTCCCAGGGTTTTTTCGACAGTCACCTAAACCTGGTGCACTATTACTCAATATAACCCCAAAAGCTTGCCTCCAACTTCTAAATGGCGGAAACATAGGCTTAGTCAGTCATTACTGAAAAAAAACTTAGTTCGGGAATAGTAATAGTTCCGAAAAACAAGCAAAAGCTAGCACTAAATGAAATGAAATAGTTGTCACTAGTATCGGACGCTCCCATGGGGAACAGGGTTATTACTGGCGGATGCTCCTAGCATCCGATGAGGTTTAAAAAGTTAAAGCTGAATCTGGAACTCCAGCAGGCTGCTCGTGTTCGTAACCACCTGCACGACAATAGACTGACTTTTCAAAGCTTGAGTGTCCTTACCTTACTTCGCTTTTCTGATCCAGCGGCCATTTGAGTTTTAGCCCTTTGGCCTGTATTGAGCGTCCTTGAAAACAGCACACACTGGCTTTTACCGGCCCGACACATCCGTCTTTAGAGCAGGCTTCGAAGTACGAACATTCCTCTCTAAATTTAGATGCTGACATTCTAGGTCTTTGTATGTGAAATTTCATTACAATACGTCGCTTAGATCAAAAGCAAAAGCAATTTCTTTGCTCCACCCCCTAAACCTCTGAAAACTACCAAAATAATTTCAATTTGGTTCTGGGAAGCCATCAGCTGGCCGCCATTTTGGTTCTGCTGTGCTGACCTGCTGATCTATTTATAGAGCCAAGAGGGCTAAGGCCCCTTACATCTGATATTTGATAGTATGAGTTTTACACCCTTTCCAACACTCAAAGGACATTTAAGAGGTAGTGCACAATACCATGCGAACTACCTGTGAGCCATATCGTGAGATCTGTCAAGCGAAAAAACAGGACAGGACTTACAATGCTGACAACTTTGCTAAACTGCTTCTCTGATCCGGGGAATCCTCTTGACCTGGAACTCCAACTTTTGGCGAGACTGAAACAAATCATTTAAAAAAGAATTACCTCAATGCAAAAAGTGGAAACTATTTTTCGGTCCAAATTTTAAAAAAGTACATAAGTAGATCGCTGTCGCACTAAAATAAATAATACAAGTAGCCTTTGTGCTGCACATACCCCCGCTTAACAGCAAGTTCTATGCAATTTACACTAGAGCTGGGTTGCGAGCGCAAGAACGAAACTGAATCGCCACTCTTGTCTGCGGAACGCGATTCACGATTCACCTCAGCGGAAATCGGAACAGTATCGCCTTCCGATTCCCGATTCACTCTCCCGCCGCTGTCACCACCTTGTGGCTGGTTTGTAAACTACTGCTGAGTCGAGTCGCGAGCGCAAGAACGGAACGGAACACTTAGTATGGCTCCCCTTATTTTACAAAAGATGGTATAGTCCAACCCCCCTATTACAACAAAATGAACGGGGTCCAACTAATAGACAGAAGGAATTTTATGGAGCCATTGTTTTAGCGAATCATGGGGTGGGGGGGATGTATGGGGGTCGCTAATTCAGGTCAGTAGATAGAGCAGTGCAACAAAGGGTGGGGGGGGAGAGGTTGGCGGGGACAAAAGAGTGGGACTCGCCCTCGTCAAGCGGCTTTGATATGACACTGTTCCGTTTCAGTCAGTGTTCCGCCGCAGTTCCACGTGGGCTCGCGTACTCGCGGTTATTTGAAGCCGACTGAATCGTGAATCGCCACTCCCATATTTGGCGAGCAGGATCCAGCTCTACTTTACACACTATACATTTTTGTCCCAACAGAGCCGAGAACAGTCAGAAACATTCTCTGCCAGGGGGCTCTCGTGGTCTAGAGGTTAAAGTGTTGGCCTCTCAGTCTCATTCAAAGGTCCAGGGTTCGAATCCGGGTAGTGACCGAACAATTTTCTTCTCTAAAATTGTCTCCTTTCACCTCCTTTCCTGCTCTCTAGCAATGTTCTGTCGAATGCTTTCGTCTCCTCTTTCTGCCCCCACCCCCTCACCTCCTCTGCCCCCTCCTCTGGGCTCCTGACTCTTTCTGCAGCCTTTCTACTGCTACTCCTTGGCTCCTTCTTACTGCTGTCTTTAATCCACACCCCTGATCTTCTGGTAGGAAAGATCTACACCTAGCCTTCTCGGACAAATGCGAAAAATCTCGGAGGGCCCGTGTGAAAGTTGCGCACGTCAAAGATCCCTTGGTGGTCTAAAATCGATAAGAGTAGGCTTCGGCCGCCATCCTGGCAAAATTCAAAATTTCCTACGAACTGAAAATATTAGGTGTGTCCCGCGCGCTCAGGACCTTATGCAGTTGTGAGCGCCGTAAAACACTTACCAAAAAGAAAAAACAAAATTCTCTGTCCACTGGGAAGGTGCTACTCTTGCCCCACAACCTCCCTGGCTTTGGGGAAGCAACTTTTGGTCTCACCCACATTTTTCTCCTTCCGCTCCCTTCTGTCGTCTGTCAACTGGAGGCAAAGACTAGAAAAACACAGACTCCCCGAACCTCAGAGAGCCAACTGCCTCTCAAATGACCGGTTTGTGTATAAAGTTTTTTATTTTTAAATATAAGTGTCTTGTACCCCACATCGCCACAATTGACATAATTTGGTCGATTTTAAGTACAAGGGGGCTATCCCGAGAAATGCTGTTTGGAGAAAATCGAAGGCAAAGTTTTTGCCCCTTGTTCAGTTTCTTTAAAAGACGAGGAGAGTTTTCTCTATAACCAAACAAATATACACACCAATGAAACTAATTTTCTCCTATAAGTCAGGCAATGCCCACTTTTGGTGTAGGTTAAGATTTCTGGAAACCCCCGGAATCTGGGTTAGCCCGGTTGTCCTTAAAAGCAACTATTTTTTAAAAAAGAGGGGGACTGCTCCAACCCCGCCTGTCTGGGCCACCCCGCCCCGCCGACAGGGATACAGCGTCCCAGATGACATTGACATGTCTCCATTACAACATTCTCGGGGGCTCTCGTGGCCTAGAGGTTAAAGTTTTCACCTCTCACTCAATAGGTCGCGAGTTCGAATCTGGATGAAGACAGAAAATTTTCTCTTCTAAATTTTTTTTCCTTTCACATCCTTTTCTGCTCTCTACCAACGTTCTGTTGTAAAACAGATGGGCACTTCCTATGGCGTCCGGGTCACACTGCAGTGGGTGCCAGGCCATTCTGGAGTACCAGGGAATGAGACTGCAGACCAGCTATCAAGACTGGAGCAAGCCTGCCCCAGATAGACAAAGCCGCCTCTTTACAGACCTGCAGAGGGATCATCCAAGCCAAAAGCAGAGACAAGTGGCTAAACAGATGGGCCAACGCAGAAACAGGAAGATCTCTCTCCAGGTACATGGACAAACCCAACCCCAAAGACTCTTCGAATGTTTTATGTAGAGCCGATCAGACTTTGATCTTTAGAGCCCGCACAGGACACTTACACACCAACAAGCACATAAACAGAATTAATCCCATCTGGGAACCCCATTGCAGACACTGTGACTACCACGAGGAGACCGTTGAACATCTTCTCCTTCACTGCCCAAACCTGGCAGTTCTTTGATGCAGGCTCCTGCACACACCTACAAACTTACAAAACCTGCTCTACTCTGGCGTTGATCAGATGACAAGGACATGTGGTTACTTGAGGGAGGCATTGCGCAGCCAAGAGCGAAATTCTCGCAGCTAAAGGGAATTGAAAACAACAACAACAACCGATGTTCTGTTGTCTGACTTTGCCTTGCCCCCCACCCCCTCACCTCTTTTGCCCCCTCCTCTGGGCTCCTAACTCTTTCTGCAGCCTTTTTACTGCTACTCTCTGGCTTACTGCTGTCTTTTTCATCCACATCCCTGATCTTATGGTAGGAAAGATCTACACCTAGATTTCTCGGACAAATGCGAAAAATCTCGGAGGTCTCGTGGGCAAGTTGCCCACGTTAAAGATCCCTTGGTGGTCCAAAATCGATAAGAGTTGTCTTCGGCCGCCATCCAGGCAAAATTCAACATTTCCTACCAACTGAAAATGTTCAATGTGTCCTGTGCGTTCATATGACCGTATGCAGTTGTGAGTGCCGTAAAACACTTACAAAAAAACAAAAACCAACAAAAACCTCCCAAAATTCTCCCCTCACAAGAATCAATCTCAGGTTTTCTGCTTGCTGCAGTAAAGCACCTAATCGCTACAACACAGGTGCCAAAAAGTGATACCACTACAGAATGAAAAAATAAAGCATTTTATCTAGACTATTACTATAGGCTTTTTTAGTAAGTTTTACTGCATTTGCAGCACAATAAGGTACTGTAAGTGCCGAAGATCAGAGGTGTTACAACAGAGTAACAAACACAAAACTGAAGGAGAGATAAGGACAAATGATGTTTTATAAGAAAGAAGGAGGAAACCCCACCAGAGCACCCGCCATTAGAGGTGTTACAAGAGAGTAACAAACACAAAAAAGAAGAAAGGGAGATAAGGACGATAGATATTTCATAGGAAAGAAGGAGCAAACCCCACCAGAGCACCCCCCAACCACCCACACTCTAAGCTTTGATCAACATTAAAAATACCAGTTACTCTGAACACAAAACGTCAAAACATGAAAAACAATCACATACTTGCATGGGGATCTCAAAATGTGTCATAACGCGGTGGAATCAGGCTCTCCTCAAGTTTTGGGCATGTAGAGTTATTGGCATCATCTTAAAGCTTGTTTACTTGTCTGTATTTGGTTGGGAAAAAAAATCCGTTTATCTTGAATACAAGTCGAGAAATTTGCAAATGAAGGAGGTGGGGTCACCTGGTTTCAGAGGTAAAATTAGTGAGAAATTGGCCGCCAAAGGTTAGTTATTTCCTTAGCTTAAGAGTCCGTGGTAACTGAAAATTTACATTTTTCGTGCCTTCAATCAACGTTTTTCAGTCAATTCCACACAGAAATGAGTTCTTTAACGGGCATAAAAGATGTTGAGCCAAAAACCAAAAATCCTTTAAAAATTCACAAACCTGCGGAAAAATGTAAGTTTCTTCACTTTGATTGTTTTAACGAGAGCCTGATTCCACCACGCTGCCTCACAAATGTTTCCTAAAGAAAAAGACTTACCTGTCAGCTGGGGAGCTAAAACATTGTGCATTTTGTAAACAGAGGTCGTCGGCTCAAACATCTGAATCAAAGAGCTCTGAAATAATTGGAAATTATTTTGGTTATTTTGGTTACTTTAGTGTAAGAAAATGATTTGCTGAAACAATTTATTCTCATCATTAATGCTTCCATTTCACTTTTCAGAGTTTGGGTAAAGCCCAGGGACACAACCTTTCCATTAATGATTTCCATTTCACTTTTCAGAGTTTGGGAAAAGCCAAGGGACACAAACTTCCACGTCAAAACAACATAGCAAAAAAAAAATCCATTCTTCCCTGCTTTCAAGGCAATCGCAGCAAATTGGTCGCTTTAACTCCCTTACGACTGGGCCCTTTCACCAGTCACAAGCGTTGAAGACTGCTGTTTTGGGGGTATTTCAATAAATCACAACAACTCTCAGAATTACCCTATTGTAATTATTTTTTGACACAGTAAAGTAACATTCAAGCTTAATCTAATACAAAAAACTAAATTGTCTAAGTCTAATACTTTAATTTGTATGATTTTTTAAAAATTGGCATGAATTTGATTTTCCGAAAAATTTCCAGAGACGTGACAAGTAGAATGAAATTCACTACAACAACAAAAATAAAAGTTCAAAGAGTTCTGGTTTGATTTGTATCCATGTGCGAGTGTTTGGTGAAAATATAAAAGCTGGTCTGTGCATTGATTCAGACCCATACACTGAATTACATGAGACAGATGTACGGCACGACATTGTGATTTCCTTGCGCGAAAAACAACACCACTACTAGTGCTAGATCTAGCCCTAGAACTATGACTCGGGCCGTGTTCGGGTACATATCCAGGATCCTAACTATTAGACACATCATATTCTGAGACACTAGAACTTGTAAAACGTACAGAAGTATAGAAAACAGCGAAATTATGTGATTCTTGTCCATGCGACTTCTTCGACCGTTACTACGACGCGACTGTCGGATTACTATCAGCTGTATAGAAAAAAACAAAGCGCGAGTTCCGGTCTGTTCAACCCCAGTTGGGGTCACTGTCCTTCACCTTCAATAACTTAAAAACTACCGGCCCCAGAGATACGAAACGAAGTCTAAGTAGCTCAGGCTTGGCCAAACAAGGGTACAAGGCGGGCCCCCGATCCGTGCGTGATTTGTAGAGCGAAAAAAAATTCCAAGTTGGTCACGCAGGGCTTGTGGGAGCCGTCACGAGCGTCGTGGCGGGGGTCACGCAACTGTTGTGTGAACCGTCTGAAGTGAGTTAAAGGACAAGCGGGCTAACCCAGATTTCGGAGGTTTCCAGAAATCTTGACCAACACCAAAAGTGGGCATTACCCTAATTAAGTTTGGTTTCATTGGTGTGTATATTTATTGCTTGGTAATAGAGAAAACTCTCCCTGACTTAGAAACTGAATAAGGGGCAAAAACTTAACCTTCGATTTTCTCAAAACAACATTTTTCGGGATAGCCCGCTAGTGCTTAAAAGCAACCAATTATGCTTTGCATTTGTGCCGTTCATGGCTTAGTGGTTAGGCTCTCTGAATTGCAACCTTAAGGTCGTGAGTTCGAATCTCGTCAGGGGCCCAACGTTCTCACCTTGGGAAAGGCACTTTACACGCACATTCTTCACTTCAGCCAGACGAGAATGGGTACCTGCTATAAACAGTAGACAGCGAAAAATCTTGTCAGACTGTTGGTGTTTCACTGATTCAGCCTGCAGCACTGCTCACAGCGGCTGACTATCTCCTGTGTTTTGACGCAAAGCCACTCCGAGCGGATCTTATCTATTGCTCCCTTTTCTTTGCATCACTTTCCCCTCGCCTTCTCCCCCGATTGCTTACATTTCAACCCTTTTTTTCTGGTTATATTGAATAGCATTTTGTATTCTGAACATTTCTGTATGCCACACATATGGTTTTATCAAATTTATATATTTCTTTATGAATTATTTTTATCAGGGAGCAGCCCACCTGTGAGGGAAAGAAAAGAAGAACAACCGACCAATGGCCCCCCTTCAACCTCCCACAGCATCAACGCCATGGAACAAGACAAAACGCTGAGGAGTATGTGAGGCATCATGGTGAAATCAGGTGCACGCCAAAATAATGAAATTGAATAAACTGGTATTTTTCTGTATCCCAGAGGGGTACAGGACTAATCAATGAATACACACATCAATGATACGAAACAGACATCGAATAAACTTTTAAATCTCTCCAAAGGATAAAATCAAAATTCTTTGACTGGCCTTTCTTAGAAAGATTTGGCATGACGGAATTTGGACTTCCTCCACTTGGGACACCTACTACCTACTGTTCTGCCGTAAGCTGACGAATCTCCTTTTTTTCTTCACAGCAGTTTTGAGAAAAAAAGACTGTCATCGTAATTATTTAAAATAGTCATTTCGAAATTTGAATTCTAATTTATTGAAAAACTAGTCACAGTTTCAATTTCATTTTTTCTCACAAGTAGGGTAACTGATCAGGCTTTCGATTTAAAAAACAAAAACTTTTGGCACCAAAATGAGAAAAGGCGTTTTGTCAGCTTACGATAGTGTGTGTTTGTGTCTCACCTTTATAACAGCAAGTAAACGACGCTCCCCCTCAACAAAAATCTGTCTCTTATCTGGTGTTACATTCACATCTACTGACTCTGAAAACGGTAAATGAATAACATAAAGTTAAGATAATCTATTACTGTATAGGTCAAACGCCGCTCAACACTGTAAGGTTATTTAAGAGTCGAGAACTCCCAATGTAACGTTCATCTTCAACGGTATTGAGCCAGTTGGATAGAGAGATCCAAAACCTCCCCCAAAACAACTCACGTTCAGAATGGCCAAATTTGGATTCGAACCAGGGCCATCCGCTCTGTGGTCCAGCAAACTACCAACAGAGCTAAAGATGCACCAGTTATTTAATAGATAAGACGAGATAAAAATTTATTGATCTCCACAAAGAGGAACTTGTGGCATGGTAAATACATACACCTACATGATCTTATCACCTCTCACTCTCATCGTGAGCACACACTCACTCACTCACTCACTCTGACACACACAGGTGCACACGCATGAATAGCTATAGGAAAGACTTACAAAGTAATGTTATTTTCGTTTACATGACACTGACTGAAGAGCTCATATAGTTGACGGTAAAAATGAATTTTTGAACCTGTTGGCTTTTGCTTTTTGAAAAATAAAATGTTTGTTTCTTCTAACTGATAAAGTTCGAGGCAAAGATTCACAACACAATGTTATATTCTCTCTCTTTATTTCTCTCCTTTTCAAATAAAAATAATCTTTATGAACTGGTTAAAATGCAGCACTCATGAGCAGTGCTTAAGATTTTTTTTCATTTCTAGTTTTATAAGTCATATAAGTGCCAACATTATTTTTTTAAAAACATTTCACACAAATTGTCAAATCTCATTCCCTCAGAAACAAACAGAAAACAAAATCAGTCACTACCAAGAGTCACAACTTAACATGTTGGCACGGATATTTTGGCTATTTAGTAGCTAAATTGCACAAAGTTCTTTCTTAAATCATATTCAGACTTTCGGAGCATTCAAGTGAAGGGAAAAACATCAGATAAGAGATATGATAAATGTGAGGCATCCTGGTGAAATCAGGCTCTCGTCAAAATTACGAAATTAAAGAAATCGGCATTTAGTTGCCGTTGGGCAATTTTTTTCTTATTTTCTCTTTCTGGCTCAACATCTTTTACACCCATTTAAAAATACATTTTTGTGTGGATTTTACTGAAAAACATTGAATAAAGGCACAAAAAATGTAAATTTTCAGTTTCCAAGGACTCTCAGGCTACAGAAGTTACCTAACTTTGGCGGTCATTTTCTCGCAAATTTCACCTCTGAAACCAAGCGACCCTGACCTCCTTCAATCACAAAAATCTCGACTTCTATTCAAGATAGGTATTTTTTTCACCAAAAGGAAGGCAAAACAACAGGCCTTAAGATGAAACCAATAACCCCATATGCCCAAAAATTGACGAGCGCCTGATTCCACCACGTCGAAACACAAATTGTAATTATCCAGATGCTGGCATAATAGGTTTGGTCTCTCTCGCTCGCTCTCTCACACAGACACACACACACACACACGCAATATAATATGCCTGTACTCACAAACAGACCCACAATCACAGGCATATGATATAAATAAACAATTATTGTTAACAACAATAATGTTCAAGCTGAATGCAAAAATCAGTATTCTGATAGTAATCTGATGGGGGGGCGGGTTGTAGAGATTTTACGGCGCTCGCAACTGCATAAAGTCATATCAACGCCAGAAGATTAGAGGTGTTACAAGAGAGAAACAAACATAAAAAAGAAGGGGAAATAAGGACGATAGATGTTTCATAGGAAAGAAGGAGCAAACCACACCAGAGCACCCACCAACCACCCACCAACCAGGGTTGACTGTTAGCAACATAACCAGAGAGGTAAAGGACGTTTCAGTTTTTGTAAGAGTTTTACGGCACTTGCAACACAATAAGGTCATATAAGTGCCGAAGATTGACGGTGTAACTGGAAAGAAACATACAAAGAAAAGAAAAGGAGGGGAGATAACAATGATTACAGTTTGGAAAACACCGTGACCATGGCATGGTTGTACAGTAAGCTGAGCTGTTTATATTTCTGGGACTTTTCAGCACAAACTTTGAGGTGTGGTCACTCTCCACAGATTATATACGTTACGTTTCCAGTGCCCCCCCCTCCCCCACTTTTTCGTGTACTGTCAAACTCAGTTATCAAATACTCGTACTTTAACTATTACCTGTGATGGATTTGATGGAGGATAACTGTGTACCTTGGACCTGTAATGAAAAACACTTATTAAGAACAAAAAACTTTTTGTCTTTCATGTTCATTGAAGTTGAGCCCCTTACTTGACACTAAACAAGTCATTTCAAAAGACTTGCGTTAGTTAATATTTCTTTTTGGGCTAAAATATAAGTTTACACTGTCCCC